TATATAATCATTACCAGGTTTAATAATATGCAAAGAATTCAACAAAAACAAGCGCAAAGCTTTTTTTTTATTTTTATTTTTTGCTGAATCAATGCTGTAAATGTTTGTTATATTTTGAATTTAATTGCTATTACAAAGAAAGTTGTTTAATGACAATAAGTTATACTATGTGTGTGAAAAATAATACAGCATGTTTTTTTATTATTATTTTTTACTATTAGGTTAACCATTGATCGGACAACAGACCAGGACCTGATCTTTCACATTGATCCTGACTCAGGTGCCATTACACTGGGGAAGATTTTGGACCGAGAGACAGCGGGGTGGCACAACATCACTGTGAAGGCTGTAGAAGCAGGTACATCTTTCTAATTGAGAAATAAGTGGAAAATGTTTTCATAATATTGATGGAATATTGTGTATGAATCATCCTGAATGTTGTCGTTGATGCTAAACTTTGCTGTGCTGGTAGATGAGAGTCTTTTCCAACATCTGATTATAAAACTACTGGAGTCAACACTTCCTCTGAGCACCCCCCCTCCCCCAATATATTTTCTTTTCAAAATAATATAATTTGTGCAAAACATATTTTAATGTATTAAACTCTGTGTCATCTTTTTGTATCACTGTACTGACACATTGAAATGATCTTTAACAGTGTTTGACTGATTAGTGATAAGTGCTCCTTCACGCTTCATGCAACATTTTCTACTTGAATCAGTTGCCAGCCTTAAACTGGATTCATACTTTATGAAAAGTGAAGAAATCTGCTCTGACATAGCATGAGTTCTGAGATGTCTTTTTGCTGGCTTGATTCATTAGTGGCTTTGTTGGTCTTTTTACTATGTCACTGGAAGTTGTTTTTTTTTAAATTCTGTGTTTTTAAGAGACAGAAACTTTGCATTCCTATAGTAAATCATGATTTTTTTATTGTTTTTTTATTGTCCTCTGAAACAAATTTTGATTACTCTTTGGGGATATTAGTTTTTGGTGGTAGCCATTCATGCATTTATGCTTTTCTTATGCAAGAAGAAAATTCAGTCATTATAGTCTTTGAGCTTACAAACACAACACTGAAAATGAACAAATTATTTTTTTATTTGTTTTGCTTTTCTCTTCCTCACACTGGGTCTTTTTGTCATAGCAAAGAAAATGAAGAACATAATAACTTGGGGAAGCAGGGAAGTTATTACTATGCCATTAGAAGTAAACTTGGAAAAGGAGGAGGCCTGGAGTTTTTCACTTTTTTCAATCTTATACAGATGAAGTGATTTTAGGATTGCAGTGAAAGCAACGAAGATTGGATTCTGCATCTAACTGGGATCTGCCATGGCACACAGAGGAACAGAGAAAATAATGCCATAAAGAAAACTAAAATTAAAATTTACTCGCATTTTGTTCTTTCCTCACATTTCCGCACAGTCTGATCACTAATAATCAACGGCTGAGCAGCAGGCAGCTTCACCCAACTCAAACATTAAAACAAAATTAGGTTGTCGCAGTCCTAACAGAGCAATTTGAGTTCTTTTGTGCTCAATGTCTTGTGCTTGGCATTATGTCACAGGCACATTTTAATGGTAATTGAACATTTAAAGTGGTCTCACACCTTTCAGAATCAGACACAAACACATGCCTGCGCTCGAAAGATAAAGCTTCTTCCATTTCCATCCATAAAATCTACAGCATAGACAAAGTCAGTAGTCAGGGCCATTTGAATTCTCTTCTAAAATGTTTCTTTATTGCGTTTTTGTATGCTCATCTCTGAAAGACGTATACACGAATCGGAACAAGGAATAAAAAAGAGACAGAATGAAACAACTAATGTCACAAGAAAGGTAGAGATAGGTTAGGTTAAATGTGTGTGTGTGTGTGTGTGTGTGTGTGTGTG